CACTATCAGCCCAGCGTGTGTATATCTCTGTGTGCGTGTTGTGCACCCAGCATGCAGCCTGGGAGTGCAGACACAGAGTCGGAATTCATTATTCAGCAGCCGCTGGCTCCCAGATAAAGCCCTATCCAGCTTTAGATGTCTCCTCCCAGCACCCGGAGCAGAGGCTCCTGCCTGCCCCTCATCAGAGCTCTGCTGCTCCCCTGCTAAGCAAGCTCTGCTGCTCCCCTGCTAAGCAAGCTCTGCTGCTCCCCTGCTAAGCAAGCTCTGCCACCAGAATTGGGCATATGGGAGTGGGCATGGGGCCACAGGCACCCCAACCACAGGGGAGAAGGAACTTCATGATCTGTCTGCACAGGAAACTGGTCTGTTGCCCTGGTGTCCTGGGGGTGATCCATGCTGCCTCCTGCAAGTCAAGTTGGCCACCAGGGTTGTTGCTGCCTGAAAGGCTCAGGGAACCTGTCCAGGCCAGGCCTGGCTGCTCTGGATGGGTCACACTGTGCCATGCAGAAATCCTAACTTAGGGCCCCCCAGGATCTACCAGACAACATCAAGGCTATGCCTGGTAGCTGGTCTTTCAGAAGTGAGAGCCTTACAAGAAGGGAATGTATTTGTCCACTTTCCCCTCCATAGAATATGCCCCTAAGAGGCTGGGTCCTGACCCTCACTTGAGACCACTGGGTCTGAATCTCACGAGGCTGGGAGGCTGGGAGGCTGGGGCTGCTGCTTGAGGGGAAGCACAGGACCAGACTCTGAGCATGGTGGGAGATGTCTGGTTGTGAAGGCAGCAGACACGTCTGTTCCACTAGAGGCAGAGTATAAGGGTCCAGGGCACTCACCTAGCCCCATCCAAGGGCTGGAGACTATGAAGGCTGGGGAGTGAGACAGGCTGATGTTTGGGTTCCAGTGAGAGAAGCAGAACTATCTGGCCTCCTATTCTAATCAGCTGCTAGGAGCCGAAGAAAGGACGTCTGGCAGAAATTCCAAGGACCAAAGGAAAACTGCTCTGTCCTCTCTTCCAGCAACATAACTGGGAGGGGCCCTGATATGGGTCGAATGTTTGTCCCTTCCAAAGCTCGTGTGGAAGACTGATCTCCAATATGGCAGTGTTGACAGGTGGGGCCTTTAGGAGGTGATTGGATCATGAGGGACCTGCCTTCATGAATGGATTTATCTATTAATGGGTTAACGGATTAATGGGTTATCATAGGTGTGGAGTGGTGGCTCTATAAGGAAAAGGCGATCTTTTTCCTTATAAAAAAAAGTGATCGCGTGAAAGTGATCTTGCCATTCTCACTATGGGACACCCTACTTTGCTGGAGATAGTCACCACCAAGAAGGTCCCCACCAGACGTGCCCCCTGGACCTTGGGCATCCCAATCTCCAAAACTGTAAGAAATAAATTTTGTTTTCTTATAAATTATTCAGTTTCAGATATTCTGTTATGAGTACAGAAAACGGACTAATACAGGCTCACAGGGAAAGGAACCCTGGGGGCCAAGACCCCTGAGCCTGGAGCCTGTGCAGGGTCATCTGTACCCTTGCTCTTGCCACTCATTCTTGGTGGAATGCCCCTGCTGTGGATTGAATGTCCCTCCCAAACTCATTGAAGCTTGAATTGTGTCCCCCAAGTTTTTTGTATTAGAAACTTGGCCCCCACCGTGACTGGGAGGGTGGGAAATCCCATTATGGTAATTGAAAGGTGGGGCCTTGAAGTGGTGATTAGACTATAAGACCATGTCCTAGTGAATGGATTAATAATGGTGTTCAGGGGCGTGGTTCTGAGGGCTTTAAAAGGAGAGCGTGTGAGAGTCTCTCTCTCTCTGCTCTGCCATTTTCTGCCATGTGAGACCCCGGCATCGCTGTAAAGCCACCATCAATGAAGATTCTCACCAGGTGTGTTCCCTGGACTTTGGACTTCCCAGCTTCTGAAACTGTAAGCAATAAATTTCATTTTCTTTATAAATTACCCAGTTCTGTATATTTTGTTACAAGCAACAGAGACAGAGCCCCCCACCTCGTGCCAACTCCTCACCTGGACTCAGCTCAATGGGAGCCTATTTCTAGGGGTGCCCCTGCACTCCCACCCAGCCTAGGTTAGGATCCTCCTCTGTGCTGCTCCTGCCCTTCTCATCTCACGGCATCCTGGGGCTGCTCCACTTGCCTGTCCCCCCACTGACCCTGGGGAGGCCGGAGCACAGCATCTTTGCACCCCAGAACCTCAAACGCTGTCCTGCTTTAGAAGGATAGATGGCTTGGGCCGGCCGGGTGGCACACTGCTACAGTGCGCCACTTGGGAGCCCAGAGGCGCTCTCGCCGAGGGTTCGGATCCCACATACAGACTGGTTCCCGCTCACTGGCTGAGCAAGGGGCGGGCGCAGCACCGAGGGTTGCGGTCCGTTGCCGGACACGAAAAAAGACAAAAGACAAAAAAAAAAAAAAAAGAAGGATAGATGGCTTTACTGGGTAGGAGGACAGCTGACTGTTGACAGGATAAAAGGATAAGCTCAGGGACCTGTCAGAAACAGAGCCTGAATGGGCCGGCCCGTGGCTCACTCGGTAGAGTGTGGTGCTGATAACACCAAGGCCCCGGGTTCGGATCCCACATAGGGATGGCCGGTTCGCTCACTGGCTGAGCGTGGTGCTGACAACACCAAGTCAAGGGTTAAGATCCCCTTACCGGTCATCTTTAAAAAAAAAAAAAAAAAGAAACAGAGCCTGAAGGTTTAGAAAGAATACATTTCCACAGTGTGGTGACAAGAGATGACTCCCTTTGAATTCTACGGTTTGAGTAACCTGCAGGATGTCCCAAGAGTCTTCTCCCCTCCTCTCCTTCTAGATGTTTCCTTACTATTTTGCCCTATTTGTTTTTCTATTTATGTTCTTTTTCCTTCTTTCTCCTTCCTCCCCCAATTCTTGCTTGTCTTTCTCACATTTATCTAACCATATTGAATTAAAGAATGTTTTAGAATATTATATTTATTGAATACAAGTGAATGCCTACCATTTTAAAAAATAGCAGATGAATTTAATGTTTCTTTTTTTTCAAAAACTAAATTCATTGGCATTTTCCATCCACGAGGTCATCAGGCAATCTGTGTTTGAAAGGCTTGGTCTCTCCTGAGGGGGTGAATTTCATGAGGCCTCTTACAGTCCTGTGCATCTTTAGGAAAACACCCATGCACCTGCCTTGGGCAAGTAATTGAGCTTTGCTTAACCTCAGTTTCCACATCTGTAAAATGGTAGCAATTCCACTCAGCAGGCCTCGGCTGAGTCAGTTGACCCTTCTGAAACCTAAGCCAGACCCCATTTTCTAATTTCCATTCTCATTTCTATTACGCATTTTGGTAGCTCTCTAATGAACATTTACTGAATTCCTTCCAGTGCCATGCTGGGGGTGAATATGATACCAGAGCCCAGCAGAAGGAATAGGTGGACTAGAGCAGAGACAAGGAATCCAGAGTGATGGGGCCAGCAGCAGGGCCAGCTGGGAGCTGTGAATGGGGCAGGCAGCAGTGTTCAACCCCATCCAGGGTTGGCGGTCGTGGGAAAGCCTTCCTGCAGTATGTCACACCTGAACCGAGGGTCGCTCTTCTAGAAACTTTTACTAATGTTTTTATAATTGTAGCATGTGCTCCCCAAGGAGAATTTAGAAAAATACAGACATGACTGGGTTCTGAAGGGCATGGAGGTTCCTCCCACTGAAGGCAACCACTTATTCATCTGCAGTTCCTTTTCCCCGCCAGGCCTCAGTTTCTCTGCTTCTTGCACAGTTTGAAAGCCTGGGGCTCCCCCCATTTCATCGTTATCCGTTAGTGAAAGTCTTTGGAGAATGCTGGTGGCAACAGCATCCTGTGACCTCATTTGCGTCTGTGATCTTCAGCAGCTGCCATCTACAGAGTCCGACTGTGAAGTCAACGCTTCCCTCCTTCTGACATCAGAGGGGAAGAAATGAGCCCTGGAGAGAAGGGGCAAACCGCAGCATGTCCTTAGTGATTCTGGGGTAGCTGCATAGGCAGCTGGGGAGGCAGGGTCTGGGGCCAAGTCACACAGAGGATGACACCTCGGAAGCTGTCACCACACCCTTTCCTCCCAATTAAAACCCTAAGGCCCTGGCCCTGTTCTGCACACCTCCTACTGCTGGTGTAAGGGTCGCTGGAGAAACCAGGTTGTGGGGGCCCAAATAGTTAAAGCAAACCTCACAGGGGCCTTTAGAAGGTTTTCTCTCAGGGCAAACAACCTATTGGTTCCGGAGCCAGAATGAACTCCAGAACTGGGGACAAATGTAAATCACCCCCTAAGACTTTTCATGATTTGTTTTCTGCCCCTTACTTTGGCAACTACTCTTGTGGAGTAGTTTGAGGGGCAGGATGAGGTGAGGAGGGGGTTCCTAGGGAGAAAAATGTCCTTCCTCCCAACACACACGCACTACAGAGGGTCCTAGGCAACCATGCCAAGCGGAGCCCACGGTGGAGCCCCTTCCTGGAGCCCCCACGGAATTGGGGCGCTAGGGCAGCCTTGGGGAGGGATGGCTCCTGGGCCCCTGCGGCTGCTCCTGTTCCTGGGCCTGAGCCGCAGTGGGGCAGCTGATTTCTGTGCGCCCCCCAAAGTCAGGGCCCGGCCTCTCCTTTCCCGCCATAGCTTTCCAGCCTGGCTCATCGCGATTCCTGCGGCGGATAGAAGGATCTTCAGGACGGATCCAGCCGGGCGCTGTACCGAGTTTCCATGTCCATCCCACCTCCCGGCGGGCGGTCAGCGGAGAGCTGAGCCCATGCGTGGATGTGACGGCCGAGGGTCACACAGCAGAGCACTTGGAGACGGGGAGGCATCTTCTGCGAGCGCGCCGTGGGCTGCTCCAGGGAGGGGACGCAGGAGGTCGCAGTGCCCCGGAACGCGGGGACCGCGGCGGGCCAGACTCGCGTTGCCAGGCGCGCGGTTGCCGGGCGACCGCGGGCTGTTACCGACGGGCGACAGCCAGGCCGCCCGGGCTCGCCGCGCCCACCATGGCCTCCCGCAGCGCGGGCACCCTCCTGACCGAGTTCAATGCCGCCTACGTGCCCCCCGGCCTCATGCCCGGGTAAGGCTGCCGCGCACCCGGCCCCACCTGAACCCGACCGTCGGAGTCCCCGGGGGCGGCCCGTCGCCCCTCTCCCCCGCCAGCGCGTCCTCTGTCGCCGAGCTGCGCCCCCGGGCCTCCGGGGTGAAGGAACGTGCGGCGCCGCGTCGTAACCCGGCTCGGTGGTCTGCGGGCCGCAGGGGTGGCCGCGCGCTCTCGGAGCAGGCAGGGGACGGGCGCGGGCTCGGCTCTCTAGGAGGTCGGTCCCCGCGCAGCCGGGCACGACCAGCCCGGGTAACGCGACCTCTTGCGGATGGGGCACGGCTGAGGGGTCGGTTCTTGGAGAAGCCCCAGGCAGGCAGCCTGGAGAGCACCGGGAGAATGTGAGGAGTCCCCAGAAAGGAGGGGGCACCCCTGCGAGGTGCGGGGCCCCAGGGTCCGGGCGGGAGCAGTATTTGTTGGTCGAAGCAGGGAAGGAGGCCGGGCGGTCGCCCACTCGAAGAATCTGGCAAGGCAGGATGGGCGGTAGTTAATGGTTAGCAGTGTGGACTCGCCACCCGGCCTGGCGCTCGGTCCTTTCACTGATGTCACTTTATCCTCACAGAATTTTGGCATTGAAAGCTTCCCAGCCCCAGCCCTGAGAGCTGCCTTGCTCTATTATTTTCAAATGCAGGGTCATACCTACCTTCCTTTTCTTTGGATATTTTCAAATTCTAAACTTCTAAGATGAAAGTCTGACTGTTCTCTCCCATTCGTTCTTTGGCCCTTTCTCCTACAGTGTCTGATGTTTCCACTCTCAAACTCCTCCTCCAGAGTGTAAGATTGTCTTATCTCTCCTACTAGTCAGCATGGGCATTGAGGGCAGGGACTGGGTTCTGAGGAGCAACTTGCACAGTATCAGCAAATCTGGACGGAATGAATGAATGAAATTAGTGTGGTGAGAGTGCTGCAGGCAGGGTCTCCAAATGGGTGGAGAAACCTCAAAAACAAAACACATGCTCCCTCCTGCAAACTCAACAGCCTGCAAAATAAAGAAAAGGCCTCTGTGTATTTTGTATAAAGTTTGGGTTGTTTTGGCTGTAATGTTAAAATCATTCTGGAGACTGTGCAGCAACTAGGAGCTGGTGCCCTAGTTTTAACTCAACCCATTTGTGGACAGGACCTTTCTCCGGGCCTTGAAGAGCTCAAAAGCTACTTCGATTCCCACCAGCCAAAGCTGATTTACCAGCTTTCCTTAGTTTCCTGAAGCCAAACCAGGTGTGTTAGAAAAGGTGACTTGGGATTTGCCTTTTCTTTCATTCATTTAGGCATTCACTTGATAACGACATGTTGAGTGCTTGGGATGTGCCAGGGGTTATGCTAAAGGTTCCAGGAAGACCAAGGCAAACAGGTGTGGGCTGCCCTCCGGGAGCTCCCAGTCTGATGGAAACACATGAAGTTTAGTTCAAATCAGCCTTTGCAGCCTTGGATAGCATGCTCACAGCACATTCCAGGTGTTTATCATGAGGTTTAGTTTTGTACATGGACATTTTTGGGGGGCCTCCCATAGTCTCCTCATCTACTGCCTGATTCCTTGACCATTTGCTGCCCATGGGGCAAGGCCTGGGGCTTCCTCAGACCCTGCCCCACGGTTCCCCCACTCCGTCCGGATGCTTCGGTGCTCACGCCACTTGTCTGCAGTTTCCTGAGCTCTCTGTCCTGCGATTGATTTAGAAATGATCATAATGAATGGATCATAAGTATGCCTTTAAGCTTGGACTTGGGCTAGTTTAACAGCTGATCCTACATCTGCCGCTTTCTCATCTGGATCTTTCTGAGAGTGATGTGCTCTCCTTAAAGATTCCCATTGACAAGGAATGAATTGAGTCGTTTTAAGTTTTGAAATCTACCTCACCGGCAATTTTGTTAACTTTACAAAAGAATCCAAGATTCCCTGCCACACTTGGATAATTATTATTTTTGTGTATCTTTTCAAACACTAATCACAGGAAATTAAATTGCAGCCGGTGTCTTGCAATACTCAAATCCCCCCCCCCCCCTTACCAGTTTTACTCATAGAGGCAGAGAATATTCACACTGGTAAGGACCTCCGAGATTATGCAGCCCAGCCCGCTCCTGTTCCAGATGAGATCACTGAGGCCTGGAGTGAGGGGGCCTGCCTGAGCCCCACAAGGTGATGGTAGAGCTGGCTGAAACCAGGTCCCTGATGCCCAGTAGTAACAACATGAGTCCCCAAGTATGAGCATTAACCACGTGCCAGGCACTATGCTTGGCCCTTTACAAAGTTTTGGTTTTTTAAAAAATCTTCCCAACAACCCAGATGAGGAACGAGCAGCTTGCCCAAGGTCATTCAGCAAATAAGTGCCCGAACCAAGTCTTTATGGCTTGAACACCCCGACTTGCCCCAATCCTCAAGCAGCCTCTCCCCCTGCCTCCCTCATTCAGCAGGGAGGACATGGAGTAGACATTAAGAGGTAGACTTTGGAGTCAGCGTGCTTGGGTTTGAGTCCTGGCTCCATTACCTATTTACCATGGTCAACTTATTGATCCTCTCTATGCCTCACTTACCTTGTCTGTTAAATGGGCATACTAATAATGTGGAGGGTAGAGGAGGCTTAAATCAGCTAATATGCACTTGATAATTGTTAGCTATTAGCATTAGTTAGATCCCTACTGTGTCCAGGGCCTGACTCTAAGCACTGTGGGACAATGTCAGATAACGAGGATGCTGGTCTTCAGTCTAGTTGGCCAGGGTGCTCCATTTGGTCCCTTGCTACTCCTGGGTCGCACAGCTCCCAGGCACCTTGCCACAGGCAGTGCCTGCATGTGCCTGGCCTGGGTGCCATCCCTGAAGCAGGCAGGTAACTCTTGGGTCAGAGTCCCTGTGGTTATAAGGCTTTTTAAGGGATAAGAGTGGCCTCAGTGAGATCCTGAGCCTCCTGCATGCAGCTCAGATTTGGGTGGCATCCCTCCCTTGCTCTCTGCCTCCTGCCAAACCTCAACAGGCTCTCAGTGCAAACACTTGACCTGCCATGTGCATGCAGTCATGCCCAGACTGTTACTGCCTGCATGTCCACCGTTCCTGCCCAGCGGCTCCTGCCCCACCCCTCCCTCCATCTGCCACTGAGCCAGGTCTAGGCCTCAGGGGCCTCAGCCCCCTAAAATCACATGTTCCACACTTGCCATTGCCAGGAGGGTGGTCCCACAGACTCCCTGTGCAACAGACATGCACACCCAGTGGTGTGCTGGTAGATGTTTAACAACCAGCTCTCCGGAGGAAAAACGCCTTGATTTGTAACATTCCCCTGTATGTGTGGTATAAATACTCCCGCCATGGCTGATTTCAAACTATGGGCTCTGCCTAGATGCAGAGTCAGGAAGGGATATAGAACAGCACACCATAGCATAGCATTTTCACTGTCCAGATGCAGGAGACGTAAATAACCTCAAGAGCACAGACTATAGTAGAGTGTAGTAAAATAATTTGGAGATGGTGAGTTTTGAGTATTCATTACCTTTATTTCTAATAGAATTTATTTTATCATAATTTTATATAATTTAATTTTTAATACTGGCTTGTTTAACAACAGACTCGACAAATTCCTGAAAATTTAGCAATTGGCTCTCTTGAAGTCGGTGTAAACCAGAGAGAGCTGCCTGCAGCGCCCCACTGCCTGTAGCACATCACTGCCTGTAGCTGCCAGCCTCCTCTGGCTTGTGGCCTCACCCTGCAGGGGGAGAGGTTCTGGCAGGGCTTGAGAAGGAAGGGTTGGTAGTTGCATTTCCAAAGCCCCTTCCATTTGAGTCCAGGCCCTGGCACTGAAGGTGAAGCCCCCGAGACAGACCAGTGAGTCCTGGGGTATAAAACGAAGGCCACCTCCCCAGGAAGATGAAAAAGACCCTGTGTGCCCAGACACTGGTGTTAAAATCTCTTGGGGAGCTTTAACAAATACCCATACCCAGGCCCCATTTAGAGATTCTGATGTAACAAATACCCTGTGCTCAGGCTCCATCTAGAAATTCCGATGTAATTGGTTGGGCTGGGCCTGGGCATCAGGACTTTTTAATCCTCCCAGGTGATTCTGAGGTGTGACCAGGGATGAGAAGGGCTCGTCTGAGATGCTCTATGGCCCTTTGCAATACTGAGGACCATTGCTAAAGTGTCAAGTATGGGCCTGTTCCCTAAACATTTTAAAGAAGATGCCCTGTATTAGTCTGTTTCTGTTGTTTATAACAAAATACATGGAACTGGGTAATTATAAAGAAAAATGAAATTCATTGCTTACAGTTTCTGAGGCTGGGAAGTCCAAAGTCCATCTGGTGGTGGCGACAGTGACTCGGGGCCTCACATTGCAAGATGGTGGAAGCAGAGAGAGCACAGAAAACAAGAGAGAGAGAGAGACTCTCCTCTTTTAAAGCCCTCAGAACCATGCCCCTGACCACCATTTTTAATCCATTCACTACTGCAGGGTCCTACAATCCAATCACCCCTTCAAGGCTCCACCTTTCAATTACCGTAATAGGATTTCCCACCCTCTTAACACTCACTGGGGTGCTAAGTTTCTAATAGGTAAAACTTGTGGGACACAATTCAAGCCTCAGTGAGTTTTGGGGGACATAAATCAATCCAC